GTGATTTTTTTTTTTCCTCTGCCATAGCTGCTCCTTTGTTACAAAGGGTCTGCAGGTTCCCAAATTCTGCATTGTTCCCTTGCATGCATCTTGATACTATTGTAGGATAAGAAGAGAGAACTAATGCTTCCTATGAATTGTGCTTCCTGTAATGACTTCCATAGCAAGCCAGTGGCATCTGACTAAATGGAAAGGACCCAGTGAGACGGGTCTCTCCAGTCAGCCTCATCTTATGCAACAAATACTTGTAGAACATTTGGAACAAAGCCGTGCTTGCAATCAAGAAGATATAACCGTGTTGTGAGCCAACCACAGTAGTTTCTTGTAACGTTTAATTGTTTAGTGTAGGAAGGGTTTGTGTGTCTAGTATGGAGAGTGAATCTGAGCCCCATAGATCCCTTCACCTCCCCTTTATTCCTATATTCATGACCAAACATGCAGTAAATAGGAGTCAAAGCCTTTATGCAACCCAGTGATAACAATGCACCAAAACAACTATTTCACTGGGCAGCTGGCTCATGCAGTAGAAGTGATCTGCAAAAAGGAATATAGGAATAAAACCTAGGTTTCTCAGTACACTACTGTTTATTTTGGTATAGGGAATGAATACAGAGAATCACAGGTCTATGTTATATTAAAAGACAAATAAAATGTCATGACAGTGTTGATGATAATGAAGATTAAAAGGAAATAATCTCTTGGCAATCTTAAAAATTGTGTGAGCCATAGCATAATTTATTGTGAACTGTAGTTCTTTTAAGGGTAGAGAAAATTCTTCTATATTTAATATTACTGTTTTCATTTTATGAGCTAAATAATAGCTTTAGGTTAGCATTTTTGCTAGCTATTTACATAGTTTATTTTTCACTTGTACTAATATCTGAGTGCTTTCATCTTTACATCATTGAGAAATTAGAATACTATTTACCATTTTAATCATTGTATTAGCATATAAAGAAAGATGCAGTAGTTTAGCAGGCACTGACTCAAATTGTATGCTAATTACCTTACCAAAACAAAATGTAGGTAAGCTTCATACGTCATAAACAGATTTCAGTATGAAGTAGTATTTTTATTTTTAAAGAAGTATCTATATTGTCACTCTGTGAACTGTGACTTTGTATCAGGCAGAGACTGCCATCTTGGTTTGATTTTTGCAGATACAAAAAGCTGTAATGAAAGCAAGGCTTTTGAAGGCTAAAATAATAATTTCCCCAAGCTTTAGTGCTAGGTGGCAGGGCATTTAAGATGAAAGTCACCTCTGTGCAGAGAGGCAGAACAATACCTATGTACCTTTTCTATATGCTCTTGAGAATTACATTCTGGCCCTGTTGAAGTTTCTGGGAATTTTGCTGTCAATTTCACTGAGACCAGAATTTTACTCAAAAGGTTAAGGTTGTGAGTTCAGTGAGGTATAGCTCCTGTACTGGTTTTCTGGAGTGGAGTGAAATTCATCCTTTGTTTATGTTCCTCAGGGCATCTTTCAGGAGAGACATGCAGAGCCTTTTGATCATATCTGGTCTCATTTACATTTTAGTTGATGACCTTCTCAAGTATTTAATTTTTTTCCCCAAACAAATTATAATGATTCCTAGAAATCAAACTCCCTGGAATGTGAGTAAAATGGATATATATATGGCACAAGATCACTGTAGTGATAATACAAAGGCCTCCAAGAAAGATAGCTCTTAAAGTACAAAACTTTTTGGAAGCTCAAGAGAGAAGTGAGAACCATTTGAGCCCTCTCCCCCTTCTATGAAACTTATCCTTCCCATTCCAAGCATATGAAAAGATTAGATTTCACATAGAATCTGACTTTGCCCCATGCAAGTGAGTAGGCACCTTCCTTTGACTTCAGTGGGCATATGACTGGACCTATTATTTTGAAGATTTGTCTTCTAAAATTGCAAAGCATTCTGCAGTGAGGGAGCGAGTGGGACTGGAGCAGGGGTAGGTGCTGCCCAGCTGGGGTAGGGCACGTGACAGAGCCGTGGGCTGTTTGGGGGGTTCCTGAGTGCTGCTGCCACCCGGCCTGAGCACAGCCCCAGCCCAACCTCCCCCTCCCCACTCCTGCCGGGAAGAGCCCGGCACTGCCTCCAGCCTGCCCTCATCCCACACACAGATCCGGGGGGGGGGCACATGCCCCCATGGCTCCCCTAAGGGTGAGTGCAGCAGCAGGAGCTGCTCTCCACTCCCCCTCACGCCCCCCAGATGAGCTGCTCATGGCACCATCCCCCGCCCTGGCTGCACAATGCCTGCCCCAGCCCCCTCCTCCCTCACTGTGGGGGCCTCAATCTGCCCTCCCCCCCACCTCCCTTCCCACCAACAGACTTATCAGCCAGATGCTGCTTTCCAAGCTGCCAGGCTATATATCGGCAATCGGATTGATACCGGCCAATATGGCTTGTTTATAATTGGTATCAGCCCAAAAAGTCTTTATCAGTGCACCCCTAGAAATACATCTTGCATCTGATAATTTTTTCATCCTTCCATCCATTTTTGAATTTAGCCATGGAACCAACTGACCCATACCTCAACCCCAAGTAGGATATGCTTAGTAAATAGTTACATGCCCAAAGGACAATTTCTACACAATACTTTATCCTTAGGTCAGTTGTTTGCTTTGTGACCAACTTCAGTGTTAAAAGAGAGGGCTACAAAATTGCTTTTGAATAAAGCTACTTACAGTGGGCACGCCTACACATGCAATTAATGTGAAGCAATAAATTCTAGAGCTTGTTGCTCCAAAGTTTATTGCTCCAGGATATGCCGTTTGAACGTGTGCCCAGGATCACAGTGTATTAAGCCAGGTGGGATCAGTCCTGGCTGGCAGGGACCCTGGGGGGTCAGTCTGCAAGCCCAAGGCTGTTCGCCCCCAGTTCAGTATGCTATGGAGGGGCTGGCTAGGGCACAAGGGTGTTCCAATGTGGGGCTAACTGACAGGGGCAGCATTTACACGTTTGCTGCTGTGGAGTAAAAAACTCCAAAGCAGGATAGTACTTGTATTTAGTTCTTGTATTTAATTAGTACTTGTATTCAATTAGTTTACTCCAGCCTAATAGGGATGCACGTGTAGATGTCCCACATTTACTGCAAAGCTGGTTAGTCTACTCCCCAGTAAATGTTTCATGTAGACATGCCCAGAAATGCCTAATACTCCCAGATGCTGCTAGCCCACTTTTAAATGAAGAGAAATGTAGAAATGTCATCCTCTGTTACAGTCTTAGGTAGGGCTGTGCAAAATTTCACCATGTGTTTTATTTTGAAGATGTTTTGAGCTCAAAACAGCAAATTCAAAATGAAACAAGGGCAATCAAAACACTTTGAAAGTTTCTAAATATTTCAAGTTTTGAAGCTGGGCTTATTTGGCTTCAGCGCCGATCTCAGCTGGCATCTGGTGCAGATCTGGGGGCTGCGCTCCACCCCTCCCCGGGAAGATTCTGGCACACCCCCAGCCTCCTGGGGGTTTAAGCCCCCGGATCTCTGTGCCAGATAACAGCATGCTGTTGCTGCTGGCTGGGGCCAGTGGCAGCACCAGTCTTCCTGGCACTCGGCATGGGCTGAGCCCAGTGCCAGTCCTAGCCAGCAGCAGCAGCCGTCTGTCATCCGGCAGGCAGATCAGGGACCCGCATCCCTGGGAGGAGTCCAGCAGAGTCCCTGCAGCCCTCCTGGGGGTGTGGGTGGGCCCCTGATCTGCCTGCTGGATGACTGGAGGCTGCTGCTGCCAGCTGGGGCCAGCAGCAGCACCAATCTTCCGCACCCAGCACAGGTCCCACCCTGCAGCAGCAGCCTCCTGTGATCTGGCAGGCAGATTGGGGGCCTGCAGTCTTCCCACTTTTGCTTGTCAACACCTTGAGGTGCAGTTTCCCAGAAACCTCTTCACCTATCTCCTTGAAACTTGCCAAGCGTTATGCCTGAAGAAGTGGATACCATCCCTGCAAGCTTCATCTGAATCAGGCAAGAAATGTTAAAGATTTAGCCATTTTCATGATTCCCCTTTATAGCCTATGGGTGAATTGTTGAAACAGCGAAACAGTGTCGACAGAGCAAAACAGAACAGTGCTTTTGAAACTAAATGAAACTCTAAACAAAATGCTGTTCTGTTGAAATGTCGAAACAGAAGTCAAAGTGGAACGGTGCTGTTTTGCACAGCCCTAGTCTTAGGGCATTTGTATACGTGCAAGCACTGTAGCACTGGGCACTTCGAAAAGTGCCCAGCACTGTGACACTTGCGATTATATAAGCAGCGAAATGTGTCAGCGCTGAGAAAGTGGTGGTGGTGAACTTTTGAACTAAAACACATAGAAGGTGCTTTAGTTTAAAAGCATGCTGCTGCCATTTTCTGTGCACTGGCTCACATTTCACCACTTATACAACTGCACATGATGCAGCACAGCACAGATTAATAGTCTGCTCCAAAGTGGCAGATCTCCGGCACATCACGGGACCAAAAATGTGTAAAATGCCCATGGTTGGCTTGTATCATTTTATTTTTGCAAGGTGGTTTAAATATTAAGAAATATTCCACTGTGTGGGTCAGGCCCAGCGTCAACATTCTCATTTGTGTCCATGAGAGATTTGCTGATTGAGGGAAGAGCAGGCCTCAAAATGGAATGCTTTCTAGTTTGTTATACTCCACTTTGATTGTCAAGGCATTGAAATATTTCATTTCCAGTCTTTCAAGAAATCTTTAGGATGGATGAGGTCAATTTTCATGTGCTGCCAAGTCACATCAGCTTTCATAAAACATAATGCCCAGTGCTTTTTCATCACAGTGAATGATTGTTTTCATGTTGCAGGCAACTATTAAATATCAATTTTCCCCCTCAAAAGCTGTAAAGTACTTTTAATAAAGCAGAAAGTTGGCAGTCACTTGATTTACACTTTAGTCAAAAAGCCAAGTATTGGGGTTTTTTTAATTAAATTCAAAAGCAGTGCCTTCAATATTTCAAAAATTGCTCACAAATACTGTATTTCTATGTCTCTTAGCAGTTACGTAGCTCAGCCCTCTACTACCCTTCTGCTACACAGTTCTCATGAGGAAATAATGGAAGGAGACAGTAAGTTAAATGACCAATGAGTCAGTTCAAGTTTTATGTGTTAATTCCTGATTTGTAATCATTTCTGCATAAATTATGCTTATTTTACTGTGTAGTGCAGTATATGCATGAGTTCAGTGTCTCTTTATGCATCTCATTATCTACAATATGTTTTAAGTAGTGTATGTTGAGGATTTATTTAATAAATAATGGAGTTTTATTTGGTATCTCTGATCAACTTTTCCTACTCATGTTTTTGCTTCCTGATGTGGGCAGCATATGTTACACCCACACAGTTATGCATAGAGTGGCTTTCAAGAAGTATTTATTTTCAGAATTTCTCTCTGACTGCACTTGGAGCAGCATCTAACAGTAAAGTGGAAGACATTTTTTTTTTTATAATGTATTGTTAAGAATACTGTGCCAGATTCTGTCATGGTTACATGAAGGCTTAACTTAGGGGTGGAAATTGGCACCTAGGCTAACATTTACTCTCATACAAAAGAATTGTATAAGCACTTCAGCACTATTTAAGGCCTTACTGTTATTAGACTGGACCCTTATTCTACAAACAGGATGAAATGAAGAGTAATGGATTTAAGCATATACTTAAGTGCTTTGTAGAATAAGACCATTATGGAGAATGTAGATGGTGAAAGCCTGCACGAGGCTGCTTTTACTCCTCTGGTTTGGAAGGATGAGTGTGGAATTTTTATCTAAGACCTAAAAATAATTTTTGACTTATAGACAGATGCAAGACAGCTTTATTCAGCAAGAAGTGCATAATTCTGTAGCTGAATTCTTCATTAAATTAAAACTAAATCCAAGGAACTGTTCAATTTCTTTATCAGCGATTTGGACGACAGGGTGAAAAGCAACCTGTTCAAATTTGCTGATGATACCAAAATTTGGGGTGAGGTGGGCATGCTAGTAGGGAGGGAAAGACTGCAGAAGAACCTGGATCGGTTGCAGGGGTGGGCTAACAAAAACAGGATGAGTTTCAACACTGACAAGTGCAGGGTGCTGCACTTGGGCAGTAGTAACCAGCAGCACACTTATAAGATGGGAAACTCCCTTCTTGAGGGCACGGAGGCAGAAAGGGATCTTGGAGTCATCATTGACTCCAAGATGAACATGGGACGACAATGCAAGGTCATGGTCAGCAGGGCTAACCGGACCTTATCCTGCATCTCAAGTAGGTCCAAGGAGGTGATCCTTCCCCTCTATGCAACACTGGTCAGGCCACAGCTGGAGTACTGTGTCCAGTTCTGGGCACCCCACTTCAAGAGGGATGTGGACAACATTGAGAGGGTCCAGAGGAGGGCCACACGCATGATCCAGAGACAGCAGTGCAGACCCTACAATGAGAGCCTACGGGACCTGAACCTGTTCAGCCTTCACAAGAGAAGGCTGAGAGGGGACCTGGTGACCGTCTATAAACTCACTAGGGGGGACCAGAAGGGTTTGGGGGAGACCTTGTTTCCCCTAGTGCCCCCCGGGGTAACAAGGAATAACGGCCACAAGTTGTTGGAGAGTAGGTTTAGATTAGACATCCGTAGGAACTACTTCACAGTCAGGGCGGCTAGGATCTGGAACCAACTTCCAAGGGAAGTGGTGCTGGCTCCTACCCTGGGGGTCTTTAAGAAGCGGCTTGATGCCTACCTGGCTGGGGTCACTTGAGCCCAGTTTTCCTCCTGCCCAGTCAGGGGGTCAGACTTGAAGATCTACAAGGTCCCTTCCAACCCTACTTCAATGATTCTGTGAACTGATTGAAACTTATATTCTGTAACCATCCTAGTGCAATTTCTAGAGGCTCTGTACACATCTACCCTTGGTTCCATATTTCAGAAAATTCATCCTGTCTTCTTGTCTTGAGATCTCTCTCTGTGTAATTCACAGCTTCATCCTTTCAAATGTCTTGCACACAATGAAGACCAGAGGTGAGTGAGGTTTAGCTGAACACACACCTAGAGCCAGCTGAAAGAATTCTCATGGATGACCTACTTTATTCATCTATCTCAGTGCTAGCTTCTTCCTTAATCAAAAGGAAAACTGGGGTTTAAGTACCGTTACACTTAGGATGTAAGTGCTAGGAAAGTGGTTGCATTTTTTTAAAGCAACCCGAGGAGGGTTGATACCTTTTTCCAATTAGCTTTACTTGGAATTGGGCATCTATATCCATAGACCAAGGGTGGCCAGAGTTAATTACCCTGGGAACCACATCTGATCCTCCACTGAAGTTCAAGAGCTGGGGTGGGGGGTGGGGAAGAAAGGGTGCTGAGCAACCTGGAGTGCAGATGACACCCCGTCCGTGTCTCCTCCCCCCCCCCACCCCTGCACCACTGAGACACTTCAGTTTTCCCCATGGGGAGCACGCCCCAGGGTAAGTGATATGGCTACAACCCCCAGCCCAGCACCTGAGCCAGCAGTCCCAGAGGGAGAGAAAGAGGGAGGAGGGCAGGCTTGGGGCACGCTTCCTGGGGAAAGCCAGAGCAGTGGGAGGTGCCGGGCTGCACTGTCCTCCAGAGCTGCCTCAGGGAGAAGTGGGCAGGGCCTTCCAATTCCTGAAGATCCGCAAGTACTGTGCCAGCAAGCTGCATGCGGCTCACGAGCTGTGGTTTGGCCACTGTAGCCATAGACCCTAATAAAACCCAACTTTAAAAGGGTTTAAAGCTTTAAAAAGATTTCAGTAATTATCAGTCTGGCCATTGAATTTCCCAGGTTTCTCAGTAGTACAATCAGTATGCTGCATCAGCTAATTACATATATGTTTTATTGTAGAAGGTATATTATTTCTCAGTAGACCAGTGTGATTCCTTCTGAGATTTTTTTTTATTTCACATATGTCACTAAAATCAGAGGAGATATTTCTGTTGTCTTAATGGACTTTGGATCTGGCCCATACTAGTGCTAGCATTTGAGTTTGGAAGTATAGTGCCCCACTTAGAACTGTAGCAGCAGCCTTCTTTCTCACAGACAACCTACATTGGTAAACTGTGAAAGCAGTACTGCAGCCAGGCTCTTGTTAAGTACTTGTCATATGGTACAGTCGCTATCCTGGGGCACATCAAGTGCAGAGCCATTTAAGTGCATGTGTAAATAAATATTTCCAAGCCATTTAGGGGGTTGAGATGCCTTGCAGGATCCGGGGACATGAAGATACCAGTTTGGAAGGGATACCACAGCCTTTTCCTAAAGCATAGAGTGGAAGCAGTGAGCAGAACAGATCAGGAGGATAAAAAGCTATCCCCAGAGGAACTGTGATGCCCTCAGTACATCTGCTTCTTGTGCTTATGCTGTGATCATAGCACAGCTTTGGTGTGATGCAAAAGCAGTCTCTGTACATATGCAGTGGCTAGTTTTGTGGAAGTCAGTAGTCCGGACATTTCTAGGTGTTCTTTCCAACAATGATGAGAAAACAAAAACCTACTAGAAAGGATTAAAATAATTTGCCCACCTTAGGAGCTTATTGTATGTAGGGATCTACTTGAGTCTCAGTTTCACAATTTTCACAGAAACCAGCAAAAAGGCAGTTTCCGCAGTCACCATGAAAACTGGCATTCCCCACAGTTTTGTGTAGAATCAGGGTCAGGGAAAAAAATCCTTATTAAATATAAAATACTGGCTTCCCAGTGGGAGCCAGCAGCTGCTGCGACCCAACCTCACAGCCTGCTTGGGGGGGAAACCGCTGACAGGCGGGGAGTAGCCAAGATGACAGCTGTGCCACCCCCACCCCCCAGCTGCTGATTGGCTGAGAGGCCTACATTTTACATGGTCCTGCCCCTCTCCACCAATCAACAGTGAGGGGCAGGGCCGCATGAAGGACAGTCCTCTCTACCAGCCAGCAGTGGGTGGAGGCTTGCTGTGAAAAGACTGCGAAAATGGTGCTGGGCACTGCAAGCAGCCTGTGATTTTTTTTACTTCCCCTCTGCACACTTTAAGTAGATCCCTAATTATATGTCATTTCTTTTTCTAAATGGAAAGTATTCTTGAGTTATGCTGAGACAAAAGCCCAACTTTGATACTTACATTCTCCATAAATGACAATAAATAATGCAGTACAATCAAATCTCATGTTTTACATACTTTTTCACACTTGATTCTGCTTGGACTGTGAAGCCAGCATGGCCTGCATATAACAAGTTGTACTTTCTGTGTCATAGGTTCCTGCACAAGCCCAATTTATTCATA